GTCGAGTTTGTCAAAGTGTGTATTATATGTATAGGTTTAAAGTTTAATGGTTAAATAATATCTATGTTTTATATGATCGGTCACTTTTGTGTTTCCTAAGTTTGGTCACTTATGTTTGTAAACTTATGTTACTCTTGGATAATTTTGGTATGTTAATGTATGTATAAACATGTTTTGATGACTTAGCTTTCATTTATGGTTTATAAAATGGTTTTATGTTTTGTAAAACTTGTGTTGGGTTTAAAAGTATTAAACCAAGATTTACCTTGAACTTTAAACCTAAATAATTCTGCTATGCATTATATTTTACACATGAGGTAGAGGATATAGGGCTTCATCTTGCATTCTTCAAGTGCATGGCATTGCCATAGCACTCTTAGTCTCCCTTTAGACCGAGGCTATTACAAAGCACTTAAAGGCAAAGAAAGACTTCCGTAATCAACCTTACATATAGGCAAATAGGGGACCCCTTCTTCAATTAGGACACTTCAAATCAAAGGGATTACCTTATACCGACGAGGTGACATCCAATAAGGCAAAAATTTTACAGCGAGGCCCTTAATGATGGTAATCATTATTCCTATGGGAACATAAGAAAATACAGTTTTACATGACAATAGAGATGCCAAGCATGCAAATGCTTTCTTTTCCCTCACTCAAAGCTACCAAACTTGAGGCATCAAGACATAGAAAGAAAGGATCGATGACCAACAAAATCAAGGCAAAAAAAATAAAAAGAACATTGATCATCCCCAACCGGAGAATGCGCTCTTTGAAATGTCTAGCAAATGGTTTTTAGGTTTAGTCTATGCAAAATAGCCAAGACTTAGGAGAGACTAATGATGGAGAGCCTTTTTTCTCAACACGACCTAATAGGAAAGGCCTAAGGATCCCTAACTCCAAAACTCGTTAGGACTAATAGAAGCACATAACTTGGAAGAAGGATCGGCCGATTAAGTGGGCTCAAAGCACCTAAAGGACCCTAGATGGCATCTCTTTAGAGGAAGGCTTTGAAATCTTCTTATCTTAGAGGTCTCGGTCTAAAAGAGAAGAATATTGCTCTCCCGTACTATCACTCAAAGACAAAACATTAAATAAAAAATCTCTAATGATGATATCAAACAGATCATCAATCATCATAACCGCATTAATATTGCCGCATAATCTAACATAATAATGGCAAAACACTAAAATTTTTCGGCTCCTTCACTAACCTTAAAGGAGAAAGGACATTCATGCTCTTTTGATCACGTATTAAGCTTCCACAAATGCCTATATAAAAGACACAAGAGTGACCCAACATGTAAAAGAAAATAGCACACAAGTGCTCCACATACAAGAAAGCTCCCGAAAGAAAATACAAGTATTCAAACAATATTCCTCCTTTTACAATAAATTAATAGACATGTCACACTCTTTATAACAAAAACGACAAACAAGTTCCTAAATCATTCTCTAAACATATCCATTCCACATCTATTTGATACTCTTAATAAATTATATGTAAACTAGAACATGTTAGCATATAAGAGCATTTTTCAAGCCAATTCGTCACTTTTTGACCATTAACTTGAGCGTTGGATGATCCTTCATTCAACTAGAAAGACTTATTTTGCAAGTAATATGAAACATGAAGTTAGAATTGCTAGTAATCACGGATGAACATGTCATAGTGATTATGTAATTGGGCCTTGTAGCGTGTGAGAATTTTTATCAATGCTCTATATACAATTGCCATCCGCCACATGCTATCATGAACGAGCATATCCCAAATTTATTTATTGAGTCGAACAACGACTCATCAATGTCAATTTACAAAACTTCTCATCTTCGATAAAGAACAAAAGAAAATAGGAAGGAATAGAGGCAAAACAAGGAAAAGATGGATTTTTTTTTCCTAATTGTTTTTCACGATACTAAGTATTTTTTAAGAACATTGGGATTTCAAGTGGATTGTTGGTAATCGTCCAAAAAGTTCAATCCTTTCGTTATTATCGTTGGTTTTAAAAATTATAAAAAGAAAGCATATCATTTTTTAACCGTTGCTATCAATAATGATCTTTACTGCTGTATAGATAGATAGGTACGGAACAACCCATGTTTACACCTCTACATCCAAAATCGTAAACCAGACAAAATTTTTGGTGGGTTATAACTCTAATGATATCAATACTCTTAGTTATCTTGAATTAAATAGGAAGGGCAACAATTTTAACTCGTTTTTAATAGAACGTTTGGTCATATTGATGTGCTTAGGACCCATCCCTCCCACAAAGTAAATACAGTATTTATTCAAATGTCAGGCCCTCCGCAGGACGTGTAAACATAAATACACACAACCAACTATTGTTGTAATTTTCTACCAAAAAACAAAGAAAAAAAGGGTACTGATATAATAAAGTGATAATAACAAAATGCGTGTGTATTTTGAGAATTTTTATAATTGAACGTGTCAACTTTTTTTTTTTTTTAATAAGCATAAATTTTCATTGTAATTATAATTTTAATGAAATAAAAGTAATATTTTTAGCTATATTATCACAAATACAAAAAAATAAGATGAATTTTTTTTCAAAAATATATGAAATGCAGATATATATATATATATAAACTTAGAGAAAATAATTGTTAAGTTATTAATTAGGTTAAGTTATTTTTAATTTTATTTTATATTTTTTTACAGTAAAAAAAAAAAAGAAAAAGAAATGGAGGAAAATTATCCTCAAATTTTTTTTTCATGTAGTACCATATCATCACTAATTTGCCACATCATCACTTTATATCTATAATACAATTGTCATCTCATCACTTAAATGACACATCAATAATGTTTTCATATCATTCATATCACATCTTCAAATTTTACTTGATTGTTATAGTTTTAAAAGTTAATACATTTATTTGGAAAAAAAAAATTGATTCCCTCAATTGTAAAAATTCTCAATATACCCACATTTATTGTGTTATAATCTCATATAATAATTATTTGTCAAATTTTAGCAATGTAAAAAAAGATCTTGCGCTGGTTATGTCATTAGCTTTAGATAATAGTAATATTATTTTCATATAATTATCTTACCGAATTCACTTATCGATAAAATATCAACTATTGATGGATATTTTATGCAGCAAACTAGTGAATTTTATTAATAACTCTCATAAATTTAATGATTGATATTTTTAATAAATAAAATTTATAAAATAATTATATAAAAATATCATTATTTGTTTAGCTAATCGTACTGTAGACATTTATTTACTGGAAATTAACGTTATGCTGGGAATCCAAGCTCTTACTTGTAAATTAATCTGCAGACCTTTTATAAATTTTATAAAAGGACTTAACTGCAGTCGCTACGGAAATTAAAATCTGTAATTCAAAAAAGAAAAAAAAAACAAAAACAAAAGGCAGCATGAAAAGTGTGGTGGGACTCCCATCCCCATCTTTATTTGAGCTTATCATCTCTTTCCTTCAATCTTCCCTGCTTTTCTTGAAAAAAAAATATAGATATATTTTAATGCTGATAAATTAATCTCTATATTTCTTGATTTCATCCCAAAAATCTCTCCATAGTTAACGAAAATCATCCAAATTATATGGATAATGTGGCACATGCACTTTAACTGGCTCGAAACGAAACAAAGAGCAAGCATTAAAAGTCAAATTGTAATGCTAAAATTAACATTAAAAAAAAAACACTGAAATAAAAAATTACGAATTTAAATTTTAACCGATTAGTTGAGTCGAAAACTTTATATATGTGAGTTAATAAAAGAAAAAAACACTTAAACAAAGTCCAAATTGAATTTTTTTAATATAGTTTTTTCCTAGTTTCGGACCGCAGGCTCCATAATCCGCAAAAGCCCGTTCAAGAATCCGTCAGTGCATGTCGGCGCAAGGTGCCACCCGAACTTTTAGTTCAGTTTAGTTCTCTATTAATTCGGATTATTTTTAAATAATGGAGCAAATTTTATTTGGTTTTTCTTAAGTTTTTTTTATTCTTTACTTTTAAGGTTAATAATATTACGTGGAAATTTTTATCCATGGGTATCTATTATTAGGTAATTTGGGACCTTTTTTTTGCATGGTATTAATTAGTAAAAGAAAACAAGCTTACTTTTTTCAATAAAATCTAATCCAATTGTAATTTTTTAAATTAAATTAAATTAAATTCGAATTCTCTTTTGGTTTTATTTTTGGTAGGTTCAATTTTAATTAAACCGAAACTAAACTTTTTTTGGCAGCTAATTAAAAAAATTGAGTACGTGCAGCTTAGATATATTTGCTCCTTTTTATTTACAAAGAATTTCAATTTGATCCCTTAAAATATAAATTCTTCCTTTTTACTTTCAAATTTTCATTTCTTAACATGTTTAACTCTCAAGAACACACAAGACGAAGATAGTTAACCAAAGAGATTTTTACATATATATAAAGATTTGAATTCAAAATTATTTACTTGAGTGATTAGAATCTCTTTAACTAGAATCAATTTTTTTAGAGCAAGTATTTATTATTTGATCCTGTAAAAACATATCATTTATTGTTTGATAAAGACTAGCCTTGGCATTTTTAATACTATCAACTGCCCATTCTATTGCATTAGAAAAAAAATTAGAAAATTAATGACGAACAGTAGGTCATGTCGTAACAGAGTTACTGCCGACGGTTTACATCACCAGCTGAAAAGGCAAGGAAATAACTGCTGTCTGTTGATCATTATACGGGACACATATCACTAAATTAAGCTGCTCACATTTTCAATACATTTTTCATACTTTCAGTAATAGTGAAACTTTAGTACAATGCTAGTAACTAGTCCAAAGTGGATTTGTACTGATCGATATCGATGTTTTATTACATGACCAGGTCGCCTATATATTAATGTGCATGTGTTTTTCTAATTCACCTCGTCTTTCTCCAACATTTTCCCTTACCTTCCACATTGTAAATCATCTTTTCTCTCCCTCAACAACCTAAAGTTGGCTAGCTCAGAGAAATGGTTAAGTCTCAGTGCTGTGAGAAGGTGGGATTAAAGAAAGGGCCATGGACTCCTGAAGAAGACCAGAAGCTCTTGGCTTACATTGAAGAGCATGGGCATGGAAGCTGGCGAGCTTTGCCTGCGAGAGCAGGTGATTTCAATTGAAAAAACCCTTCAATAATTCCCAATTATGTCTTGACTTGGTGATCCAGTACTTTTTATTAAACGATATTTTCATTGTGAACTCTTCTTAATTTGTAATTTTATGTTGTATGTATAGGACTTCAAAGATGCGGGAAGAGTTGTAGACTTAGGTGGACTAACTACCTTCGGCCTGATATCAAGAGAGGAAAGTTTAGTTTGCAGGAAGAACAAACAATCATTCAGCTACATGCTCTTCTTGGAAACAGGTGATATATAGGATCTTGAAATTGACAGCATTCTCATGGTCTCCACTGTGGTATTATTATTCCTTAGATGATCTTTGGTCTTCGAGTTTTGTGCCCACTTTTAGATCAGAAAAGGCACATTAAGTGGTCCAAAGAGTGATTTAAAGATAAGCTCTTAGTTATTAACTGTAGCTGTAGTACAAACTACGTACAAAGTAAGGACTCTAGGTTTTTTTTTTTTTTTTGAGGTCTAACAATGAATGATCACATTGCTTTGGACAATTACATGATGTTAATTTTGTACTACGTAATTAAGACCATCTTGTTTTATACAGGTGGTCAGCCATAGCTACTCACTTGCCGAAAAGAACCGATAACGAGATCAAGAATTACTGGAACACACATCTTAAGAAAAGATTAGACAAGATGGGCATTGATCCTATGACCCACAAGCCAAAAGCTGATTTTTTTGGCTCAGGAAATGGCCATTCTAAAGGTGCTGCCAATTTAAATCACATGGCTCAATGGGAGAGTGCGCGGCTTGAAGCCGAAGCCAGATTGGTCCGCGAGTCAAAGGTAACTATACCTAGTCCTTCCCCAAACCGACTCGGCTCCACAGGTTCAGCTCAAGTCTCCAACAAAACTAGTGTAGCTCCACCACCTAGACCGCAGTGCCTTGATGTACTCAAAGCATGGCAAGGGGTAGTTTTCAGCATGTTCTCGGCCGGCAGCAGTGACTCTCTCGAATCTCCAACATCCACATTAAATTTCTCAGAAAATGCATTAGCTCTCCCACTCATTGGAGTTCAGAAAAATTCAACCGCCACAGTAGGTTTTGCCACAAATAATGCTACGTGCAACGAAGGGACCATAGCCAGCGAATTTAATAGCGGAAATCAGTTCGAGTGCTTTGAAAAATTGAATGAAACAGCACAAGTTAAGCAAAATTTGGACAGTTCAATGGAATTGGATGAAATAAATCCGTATGCTAGTGACAATAATGCGTGGTTTGTTGGCTCTGCAGCGAATGAAAATGCACCTATGGGAAACATCATTGAAGGACTTTCGGAAATTTTGGTCTGTAATTCTGATCAGGACCACAACGCGTCCTTTGCTGGAGAGAATATAAATGATAGCTGTGGTGGGAATCTTGAAGAGAACAGAAATTATTGGGATAGCCTACTCAATCTGGTGGATGCTTCTCCAACAGGGTCACCTGTGTTTTAATTTGACCATCTATACTACTACTACTACTACTTCTTCTTTTACTATATAAGAAACCAAACTGTAGGGTTTGACTCACCATGGTTCATTTCATTGCATCAATTGTAACATTAAATCTTTATAAATAAAGGTTCTTTAGATGTTCGTTCAGTCAATTTGAATGCTGCTAGGGACTGAAACTAACTTGGTTCATAAATTACCTCTGTTAAATTAAATATTGTAGTTTTCATATTTCTGTGATAAATAATGCATATTCCATTATATTAAGGCTAGGGTTCTGTGGTTGCCTGAACCACTATATATATATATATATATATACAAGAAAAACTATATAAGTACACCTAGGAATATATATAAAAGTTCTCGCAGATGCAGTTGCCAGTTTTTGAGCTTAATTTCTACGCATACAAGCGTAACCAGTGGCTGTTAGAGAGCTATTTATTACTCACAATATTAGTTAGACATTCACATTGTGATGCTCACATCTCGTATCAATGAGTACTTATGAAAAAATTGAATGTGATATGAAAAATACTCGAAGATTTATATGCAATAAACAATGCTTTTATAAGATCGAGAACACCAAGTTTAACTTGGTTAACTAGCCGTTACGCTTATAGGTCTACGACCAATCAAGTTAAGCAACGACACTTGCCCACGCTTGGAACGTGAAATATGTGCAACTCTTCTTGGGCCACATCACTTGTGGTACATCCCTATTTTTGAATTAAGCCTACAACCATATGCAGTAGTGAGGCCCCATATCAAGGAAGGGAGCGATTGATTTTTTACTTAATACAAAAGGTACTCTTTTTTTTTTTTTTTTTTTGGCAATTTGATAAAAAAACTCTCATAAAAGACAAAAAAAAAAATAGAAGTGCTCTTGATTATTTATAATGTCAAAATCAATAGGTAATTTCCAAAAAATCAAATTAAATAATAAGTAATATATATGTATGCATGTGTGTATATTTAATAAATTACTTTAATGAATTATTATTATAATAATAGATTAAGCTTACAAATGTAATCCTAAAATTGCTACAATGATAGCAATCTATTCTCAATTTTTTATATTTTAATTTATTAAATATTATTTGGATTTTCATCAAAATTTTCCATTTTTATGATAATTTGAATTAGTTAGTAATTAATTACTATTTTTCTTTAAAAAAATATGGAGAGATACAATTATATGTATTTTAATGAATATTACAATGGATTGGTGATTAGATAAAGAAATAAAAATTGTAGTTAATAAACAGAACAAACTTTGAAAAATATTACCATGTTCCCACAAATCCACACGACACAAACATGTTATGGAATGTTTATTCTAAAATATAACATCATAAACAAAGAGTACATTACAAAATGATCCATCTCAATCTTTTGTAATTAATTTTAAATAAATAAATAAAAAAGCTTACGGTTTTTTACTTCTTTTAATGAATATTCTTAGTTAGAATATAAAATTTAAAAGAGCTTGCTACTGTTAATTTATATTTCGACAAGAAACTTTTTTAGCAATTCTGCCCCCTTTTCTTAGATTTTCTAGGTTCCCCACTGATCAAGGAAATGAATTACTTGATTTGCGTTGTTGCGTAGCCAAGGTCTATCCATTCATCTTTTTCTTACCAAAAAAAAAATCAACTCGCCCAATTTTTTCTCCCGTCCAAATAAAGATTGCATTTAGTTGTCTTTACCTAATGCAGCTTGTCTAGCTACTTCCAAATAAAGAATCCACGTTGTTTGGCAGAATATTCATTTAACCGATTCATGGCCTGTAAGTTTTAATTAAAATGAAATAATAAATGGACATATCCCAGCACTTGGTCTGTCACCATCTCTTGTTCCTTCAGGCATCAATATATATATATACACGATCAAGAGTACCAAGAGTATCTCAGCCAGATGATAGATGAGCCAACCCAAGTTATCTGTTTTTTTTTTTTTTTTTTTTTAACGACAACACACTCGCGCGCGCATATATATATATATATATATATATATATATATATATATATATATATATATATATTAATTGTCCAAAAATTAGTGTATGTAATAAAGTAAGTTATTCATGATCCAAGTGCTTATCATGCAATTTTCTGGAAACGTAGAGTAACTCATTAATTCGTGACCCAAGTACTTGTCATGCAATTGTCTGAAAATGTATGTGTAAAGTGAGTCATTAATTCATGACCCTTATTTCCATCCCCATTTTTTATTTAATTATTTTTCATAAAAAATCAAGGATCTATCTTTTTTTTTTTTTTCTTAAAGAAGTCGGGATCAATTAAAACACCAAATAGGAATCCACATGGAGAAGAAAATACAAGATAGTGATTGGGAAAAACAAACAACCTAAAAATAGAGCGATAAAAAAGTACTGTAAAAGATACAAGCTAAATAAAAAATGCTGAAACAAAAATAATTAAACAGATAAAAGGAATGAAACTGGCAAACTGCCCAAACATACAGATGATAAGCCATTTGTTGCTACTATGGAATTAACTATATAAAAGATCTCTAGAAGAATATATATATATCTTAAGAGCAATAACAGCTTTCCGTTACGCTGTTATATATTATCGTAATAATGCCTACACGAGCTATCTCATCTAATCTAGTTGGCTCTATTCAATGTTTGGACATATGCATGCTAAATCATTATACGTTTGTGGGTGACAAATTAATTTTTTACCTTTTTTTCCAATCAAACTAAGTTTTTTAAAAAATATTTTTCAAAAATAGTTAGTAATTAATCAAAAGAAATTGGTTTTGCTGGGGCACTTGAGTCAATGAACATTCATCTTATTTTTGTACAAAAAGTGGCTCTCATGCTGGATGGTAACCAACAGTTAGACAAACTATTCAAAGATAATTTAGACCCTAAATCCCCCCATATCCCGATCAAATGTTTATCGCCTAGGCTAACCCTACTGGATTTTAAATGTCTCAACCTTGATTTGCAACATTTCATTTTAGAAAAATTTAGTCAATAATTTTAGGCAGGCCTTAATAATGAAATAATGCTAATTTTGTAGCAATACATTACTGGAAATCACTTCGGTGAGATCTCATTTGCTAGATGGATTGGTCCTGCTTCTGGGTTTTGCATATCCAATACACGAGGAAGTCGTTGAGAAAAAAAAAAAAAAGAAGGTTTTTGGTAATAAATTTATCCACAAAATCATCTAACCCATCAATCTAGTGATAAACTAATAATAAGTCACAGTAATGATTTCAGATTAATTTTTTGATTAATTGTATTTAATAGTAAATAAGTGACATTGCCGATGCTCCCAAATATATTAAGCACGTTAAAGTCACTATACCTTTGCACTCAAAATTCAAAGATAATATCAATTTAATATATATATATATAAGCAGCATGTATTTCTTAAATTTTATTTTGCATTTTGTTATAAAAATGAACATAGCATATAGATGTAGACACTTTCTAGTACCATAATCACTTGCGCATTAGAGTACTTATAATTATCCTTAAAAGGTTAGTTTGGGTTTAAGGATTTTTGCTTCTTTCCCTAACTTCTTGAGTTTAAATATTGGAACCAACTAGTGAAATTTATTAAATTTTTTTAAATACATCAAGTTGATATGGAGAGTGTGCTCTTAAGATCATTAGAGCAAGAATTTAATCTCAATTGACACACAATCTAGTCCAAAGATACCGTTATTTATAAGATAAATTAAATATATCCAAATATATAATCACAATATAAATTAGGGTGTTGTTAAATCCACCAACCAAATTATTATTCTCACTAATTTTTCTAAAAAATTACCAATACACCCTCCATTAATATGTGTTATATGATAGTTATTCATAATTGATGAAAGGTGTATTGGTAATTATATAGAAAAATGGTGGAAATGGTGAATTTTGCAGTACCTTATAAATTAATAGGATCCATATCTTTTTTCATGATTTAGTAAGTGCTCAAATAATTTCTAAAAAAAGTTGATCTCATTAAATAGAGAAAGCCTTTAATTTAGTCTATACCAAGTACTTTAGATTTTCTATGTGTTGATAGATAATACATGCCTTTACTTAATATTTATAAGGCCGGACTAGAAATCTTTTATTTAATCTAGTCGTGTGCTTTCATCCATCATGGATGTGCCTACCTCGCTATTAGAGTCCAATGAGCTTTAGCCTTTAATTGTCACTTATAGATTTTATTCAAAATAAGTATATAATAATAAATTATATTCATTTAAAACAAGACATAACAAATGGGCTACATTAAATCATTACAAGGAAATTGACAATTAGCGACGGATACTATTCCGTCTCTAATTGGAGATAAATTAACGAGGGATTAGCGACAAAAGAGAAAACGAGTAATTTTTATGAGTGACTAACAACGAAATAGCAAGGGATACTAAGGAAAGGAATTAAATATGTTGCTAAATAACGTGATAAAAAAGGCATCACGTTCAGCGATGGATTTTCATCATTGATTTAACGATGGCAAGAATATCGGTCGTTATCCATAGGTAAATAGCAACTGATTTCTTCCATCGCTAAGGAAAGTGACGTTGGGTTGAATTTGACATTCAAATTAGCGATGGAATGGTGATCCGTCGCTCAATTAAATCACAAATTAGCAACGGATTTGCTAATCTGTCGCTAATTTCAATATCTAGACGGTTAAGGATTATTTAAATTAACGACGGAATTGAATTATGTCACTAATTTGAATTTTAAATAGCGACGGATTATCAAATTCGTTGTTATTTTGGTAATTTTCAAGAAAATTCTAGACAAATCGACGCCTTTTGAGTTCAAATTGGTGACGGAATTCGAGTTCAAATTAAAGACGAACATGCATTTTCGTCCCTAATTAGCGACATATTAGCAACAAAATCATGTCCGTCGCTAAAAACTTACCTTATAAATGGGTAGTTTTTCTTCTTCTCGTTCATTCATCTCTTCCTCTCCTCCACCAAAAACCAACAACTAGCCCAAAATC